TTACGGTATCTAAAGAATAGTGATGAAATTCGTGATAACTGCTTCATTTAAGTGATTTAACCTAAAAATGCAGTATCAAAATTAGTAGAAGTTTTTTACTTTTTTTGGCTGAATTGCTCATTTGACAACTCAATGTATTTTTTTGCAGGAACCGACAAACTGCGTTTCCTCTCGCGTAACTATCCAACATACTCTCATCGTGTGGCCCGGTACGCCAGTCAGGTACTGTATGTGATGTGGCAACATAAGGAACTTCAAGATGGATTCAAGCGGTCCGGTCTCAAGGAAGCTGACTTTTGCTCGTTAGGCCCGAGAAAGTGAGTTTTTGAAATTTTTGGAAATTTTTGAAATTTTGAGATTTCTGAAAAATTAGTTGTCAAAAAGCATATTGCCTAATGCATCGAAAAAGTTGGGAAATCTCAACGTTTTGAGGTTTTTCAAATTCAAAATTCTTCAAAAAATAAAAATTTCCAGAGGCGACTCATCCACCCTAGCTCGTCCAATCTCATCCCAAGGTCGTGAACGCCCATCAATGCACAATCTCGACGAGACCCTCTCCTCTGGTGGCGGTTACGGTACCATGGACCATCATCATCGGTCTACCGTAACCCCAAATTCAGCGAACCGCCCGGCCAGTGCCACGTCACAAACCATTCAACGTCGTTACGATCAGGTGCCTAATTCTGGTGGTCCCGTCTATGCTTCGGTCCAAAAACAACCATCGCCACGTGGCGGCAATGGCAATAATGTTGATGATAGTTGGGTCTAGAACTTTCTAGAATTTGAATTTTTGAATTTCCCGCCCCCCGCTTTCTCTTTCAAACTGTTCCCCCATTTTCACTTTCTTCCCCGTTTTCAATGCTCAATTATATGAATTTTTATTTTTCGACCCCTTTCCCCAAACCCAAGAAAAACCGGTATCTAGAGAAAAAAGTTCCAATTTAAAAAAATTTTTAAATCCTAAATTGTCATTTACTCTCTCTCTCTCATTCATTGTGCATTTTTTTCATTAGCTGTCCAATAAATTCTAGATTACTGTAGAATTTTTTTAACTTTGAAGATTTTGTTCTCAGAATTTTGTCCGTGAGGCTACCGTAATCCAGCTGAAGCTACCGTAATCTACATGAAGCAACCGTAATCTAGCTAAAGATGCAGTAATCTTGCCGAAGCTACCTTAATTTAGATGAAACTTCTGTGATCTAGATGAAGCTACAGTAGTCTAGATGAAGCTACAGTAATCCAGCGGAAGCTACCTTAATCTACATGAAGCTATCGTGTTCTAGATAAAACTAAAGTAATCTAGCGAAAGCTACAGTAACCTATCGTAATCTAGATGAATTTACCGTAATCCAGCTAGCTACGGTAATCTAGCTGAAGCTACCGTAATCTACATGAAGTTACCATAATCTAGATAAAGCTACCGTAATCCAGCTAGCTACAGTAGTCCAGCTAGCTACAGTAATCCAGCTGGAGCTACCGTAATCCAGCTAGCTACTGTTATCAAGCTGAAGAAACCGTAATCTAGCTGAAGGTACCGTAATCTAGATAAAGCTACAGTAATCCAGCTGAAGCTACCGTAATCTAGATAAAGCTACAATAGTCCAACTAGCTAGTTAGAGGACTGAATGTGGATGGATTACTGTAGGATTACTGTATCACCAAGATTGTCTCATTTTTGGGTTTTCGAAAATTTCCAGTTTCACTATTCCTATTAAACCGCTTTAAAGGTGGGGGGACATGAAAAAAAAATAATGTTCTCGAAATTCCGTTCAAAGATGCTCCTCGAGGAGTTGAACATGTGAGGGCGATGATTGAGGATGCGGCGCCGCTACCGACTGAGTTACGCGGGCAAAGAGAAAGCGCACGCCCGATTGCATACATAAAGGCGAGGACGACAGCTGTACGCAGAGTGACATTAAGCGTTGTACACCGTGACGGTAGAATGCATACTCTAGCTACAAAAAAACTACGAAAAATCTCCTGCTAAAGTAATCCAGATAGCTACAGTAACCTAGGTTGGGACAGTGATCTAGCTGAAGCTATCGAAACCTAGCTAGCTACAGTAATCTAGATGAAGCCACCGTAATCCATATGAAGCTAAAGTAATCCATCCAGCTACAGTAATAAACCAGAAGCTCCATTTTGACCCAAATAATTAATTAAACATTGGCTTACTATTAGAAAAATAATCAATAACTTCGCTTATTCACAAAACACTTTGCAAATTTTTCAGACAAAAAAATTCTGAAAATAAATATAAAAAATAGGTTAAAATAATTCCAATCATTTCGCGTTTCTCGATCTTCTTGGTCCACCGGCGTTGGTCAATTTTTTGTGAAATTTCGCCCAATTTTTAGTAATGTACTCGATGAATGGATTGATTCCAGATAGGATGATCTGGAAAATTTCAAATTTCGTAAGTTAGAATCTCTCCAGAACCCGGGCTCCAGAGCGCTTTTGATGCATATTTCAAAATTCTTAAAAGTTCAAAAACCCACCTGCTGAGGTCCCTTCTCATATTTCGCAGTGAGCAAAAGTGTATGAAAGTTGCAGACTAGTCTCAAAAGATGCGAAAATCCATAATATTTGGCTGGCTCGTACTTCTTTTTGGCAATGAATCGTTTCAACTTCTTCTCGTACTTTGGTGTATCATCCTCTTTTATTCCCGTAGCCTCTTCCCTTTCTTCTTTCGCTAGTTTCTCTTTTTCAGCATTTTCAGCCAGCTCCTCCTCTGTAAACTCCTCCCATTCCACTTCCATACCATGATCCGGACCCAAAATCTCCAGTTGATGCTTGTCGTATTGATCCCATTCCTCAGAGTAGAGCAGATGGGTTCTAGAAAATTCCAATTTTCAGACAATTTCGGAATTTCAAAAATTTCAAAGATCGGCAATTTTTTTCGAATTCCTCAATGTATGCCATATTTCAAGTATACTTCAAAGCCCACCTCAAACTTCCATTGATATAATCCTTGAACGCGTTGGCCGCCAATTTTCGAATTTCAACTTCCATCGGCGTCAAAACAGTGCTTGTCATTGCGTCATCGAGTTGATCGCTGAGCTCCGCGTCTTCAACTTGGCGATCCACGAATTCGTGGTACTGAAAATTTGTTGATTTTTATAGGCAATTGTTGGAAATTTTAAGAGCTATCTATTAGTTTTCAAAGGGGGACTCCGACCAGAAATTTTTATTGCATTAAAATGTGTTAAAACTTATCTATTTTTCAAATATTATCGCGAAAAAATTCAAAGAAAATCCGAAATCCCCGAAAAACGGCGTTGAAAAGGAAGATAATTCAAAAAAGGTGCCGCCGAGGGACGAGGATTTTCAGTGAGAAACCTAG